AAGCTTAGAAGAGACAAAAAGAATGGATTTTTGGGTGGTCAACCTTTGACAGACTTCATGCAGGAATGCATCATTCCATTTTCATGCAAAGGGTTTTAATTGAGTTTGTCCTGTATGCTTTGTTTGGCTGCTTCTTGGTAAGTCGTGTGGGAAGTTTGGTTGTTGCATGGGTTTAGAGAGAGAACTGTTGTGAGATAAAGTAAGTTAAATCCTCTCAACCCCAACCCTTCCCTTCTCCATGCATTGAAAGAGTGCTAGACACATTTACCTGCCGGAGACATCGTCGGAGGAAGGAGAGGTTGGAAATCCGATCAGGAGATTCATCCAAAGTCTGAGCAACCCTGCTATCTGCTAGTTGTCAGTACGAGTTTGTGACAACTTATACCTGTGGAGGGATTTTCCTAGGTGATTTGCATTATAGTATGGGTTAAAGGAGTTTTGGGCTGTTTAGTTCATAATCAACCTTGATTAGTGAACTTCTCCTGGATTGGAATCCCTCGAATGTAGGTTGGTTATAACCGAACCGGGTTACCAAATATCTTGTCTTTTATTGCTTTGGATATTTTCCTTATTTCGTTGACAAGATGCTGTTACAACTGTGATTTTAGCACGCTTCGGGAGTTGGCCCATTTGGAAAAGTGTACAAGAATTTATTAGAGTAGCACTTATTCCATCCCAACATTTGGTATTAGAGCAGTGTTCTCTAAGTTGCTGAGTAGATTCTTTCACAGTTGCAAAGATGAGTAAGGAAGGTCGATCTACATCGAGACCTCCATTGTTTGATGGAACAAGTTATCGAAGTTGGAAAAACAAGATGGAAGCTTTTCTGATGCTACAAGGTGAAGATGTTTCTGAAGCTGTTGAGTCTGCATGGTCTCATCCCATGAAGACCATCCAAGATGAAGATAATATCATCTCTCTTGTGAAGAAACCGAAAAGAGAATGGACTCTCAATGAAAAGTCTGATGCAATCGCCAACTCGAAAGCCCTTTTTTCGATTTTTAATGCTGTAGATGAAACTCAAGCGAAGCTGATATCCAACTGCAAAGTTGCTAAGGAAGCATGGGACATCTTGGAAAATGCATTCGAAGGGTCTGTACAAGTTCGAGAGTCAAAGCTGGATCATGTTGAAACCTTGTTTGAAGGACTGAAGATGAATGAAGATGAAACGATCGCTGTTTATTATAACCGGTTCATAGATGTTGTGAATCAAGCTGAAGCTCTTGGAATGCACTTTGAAGAAAGAGACTGGTGAGAAAAATGCTTAAAAGTCTCACAAAAAATTTCAGGCCAAAGGTGATTATGCTCAATGAACCACCAAAGCTGAGACACATGACATTGGATGAACTGTATGGTACATTGGTGAGCTATGAAATGAACTATATCGAAGATGAAGCACCCAAAAGCATGGCTCTAAATGCTGAAGACTTGAAGATGATAGAGTCTGATGAAGAAATGGCACTGCTGAGCCGTAAACTTTCTCGAATGATTAGTGAGAAACGAGCTGCCAAGCTGAAGTTTGGGAAGTTTCAGAACAGAAATAGCTATCAGGGAGGAGGAACATCCAGTTCTCAACGAAAATACCCTGAGCAGAAACCAACTACATACAACAAGCCAAAAAAAGAAAGATTCGATGGTGGATTTAAGAAGAAGTTTGTGGTGTCTGCAAAACCAGAGATGGTTCAAGAACCTACCTGTTATGGATGTGGTGGAGTTGGACATGTTAAATCAGAGTGTCCAACAATAAAGAAAAGAGAAAAGAGAGTTTATCAAGCCACATGGAGTGACAATGAAGATGGTGAATCTGTTGGAGGTGAGGAACAGACAGAAAGTGATAAAGTGGTGGCATTTATGGCAAATGCTGGTGAAACCAGCAATAGTAATGAGGAATCCAACCCTAAAGCTGCTGATGAGTCAAGGGAACTTGATGCTGAAGAGTTGATCGAAGCCTATGAGGAAATGGTAATCGAACAGAAGAAAGTTGTAGTGAAGAACAAGGAGATGATGTAAACAATTTATCGTCTGGAAGATCAAAAAGAAAAACTTGAGGATGAACTTGAAAAACTGAGGAAGATTGCTGATGATAAATCTGCTGAATCACAGAAGTTGAAGTAAGAGAATCTGAAGTTGAAGGATGAAAATGATAGACTTCGGAAAGGAAAAGAAAAATTAGATGAAGTCCTTTCGATTGGTAAACCATTTGGTGATCACAAACGATTGGGATTCTGTGAATCTTCTCAAAGTAAACCAACTACATTTGTGCGTGGTGGTTTGTTAACTGATGTCAAACTTCCAGAGAAGAATTCAGTACCTGTAAGGAAACAGAACCCAAAGAAGAGCAAAAACAGAAATTGGAACAGATATCGCAGAAGAACTCAGAATAACAGATCTTCGTTATTACAGCCTACTGACTGCAAGTACTACTTGTATCCTGGTCATTCAGCTGAGAAGTGTTTCAAACTGGCAAAGGATGTTATCAATGGGAAACCCATTCGATGGCCTACAGAAGGTCTAAAACATAACATCAAAGTCAAATTGGTGTGGATGCCTAAGGAAAGTCTGAAACAGGTGGAGTGCAATGTGATTCTGTCAAGCCAAGAGTCTACCAGGGCAGATCGATGGTACTTTGATAGTGGTTGCTCGCGACATATGACTAATCAAAAAGAACTTCTGAAGAATTATGTTGAAGCCCGAAGTGGAGATGTTATATTTGGTGATGGTGAAAAAGGAAAAATCAGTGGATATGGCGCTCTTGAAAAAGAAAGGATTCCAAAGTTGTCGAAAGTCTACTATGTTGAAGGGCTGAGTACAAACTTGATCAGCATTAGTCAACTCTGTGATGATGACTTACATGTGAAGTTCACGAAAAATTCATGTGAAGTATATGATGCTGAACAAAAATGGGTGATGACTGGAGTTCGATCAAAGAACAATTGTTACTTGCTGGAATATCCTCAAATGGAAGCATTAATATTGAAAGATGATGAATCTATGCTGTGGCACACCAGATTGGGTCATGTCAATCCACAGAATCTATTGAGGATTAGCAAAATTGGAGCTATTAGAGGATTACCCAAATTTTCAAAGATTCCGATTACTACTTGTGGTGACTGTGCGAGAGGAAAACAGAAGAGAGCTGTACATTCCTCACTGGAACAACGTTTCAGCAGCAACTGTCTGGAGCTGCTGCATATGGATCTCATGGGTCCAGTCGATGTCTGCAGTCTTGGAGGTAAGAAGTATATCCTGGTTTGTGTTGATGATTTTTCAAGATATACATGGGTAGATTTCCTAAGTGAGAAAAGTGATGCCTTTAATGCCTTTGAAAAATTGAGTACAAGGCTTATGAATGAGAAGAAATCAAAGATTGACAGGTTGAGAACTGATCATGGAAAGGAGTTTGAGAATTGGAGGTTTGCTGAATTCTGCAATGGATTGGGAATTAAGCATGAATTTTCTGCCCCAAAGACTCCACAACAAAACAGAGTGGTGGAAAGAAAGAATCGAACCCTACAGGAAATGGCAAGGTCAATTATGCATGCCAAGGGAGTTGCCAAATATTTGTGGGCTGAAGCTATTAGCACAGCTTGCTATGTGATTAATCGAGTGTATCTCAGACCCCACACATAAAAGACAATGTATGAAATCTGGACTGGAAAGAAACCAAATGTTTCTCACTTTCATACATTTGGGTGTAAAAATGCTACATCATGAAGGACAGAGATCAACTACATAAGTTTGATGCTAGATCAGATGAAGATATATTCTTGGGATACTCTCTGAATTCCAGAGCTTACAGAGTCTTTAACAATCGAACTAAGAAAGTGATGGAATCTGTGAATGTGATATTCGATGATGCCCTCTCGGAAAAGAAATCCATACATCCGAGTGATGATGATAATGATGAAACCACTCCCACCAAAGTAATTCAAAGTCATCCAGATGTTCAGAATGTTCCTCAGACTCAGAATGATGTACCTCAGACTGGTGACAGTGCTGCTGCAGAGAGCTCAGTCAGATTTGATTGGTCAGAACCAGAGTGTTCAACCGATATTACCACAACCAACTTACAACCTACGGAGAGTGAATCTGATGCTGAAGCAAGAAGATATGGTTCCAGAGTTCCACAAAACCATCCAATTGATGCAGTCATTGGTGATCCAAAAGGAGGAATATTAACTCGAGGTAAACAAATTGATTTTAAGAATCTGTCTGGTATGAACTGCTTTGTTTCAACAGATGAGCCGAAGTCAATAATTGAAGCTCTCAAGGATGAATATTGGATTAATGCAATGCAAGACGAGTTGAATCAGTTCACAAGGAATTGAGTTTGGTACTTGGTTGAAAGGCCAACTAATGTGAATGTTATTAGAACGAAGTGGATCTTCAAGAATAAATCAGATGAAAAAGGGAATATCATCAGAAATAAGGCAAGGTTAGTTGCACAGGGGTACACACAGATTGAAGGCATTGACTACGATGAAACATTTGCTCATGTTGCACGCATTGAAGCAGTGAGATTACTGGTATCTGTTGCATGTTCCTTGGGATTTACTCTCTACCAGATGGACGTCAAGACAGCATTTTTGAATGGATGGATTAAAGAAGAGATTTATGTTGAACAACCAAAGGGATTCGGGGATCCTTTCCATCCAGATCATGTGTACAGATTGAGGAAAGCGCTTTATGGTCTTAAGCAAGCACCAAGAGCCTGGTATGAGAGGCTGTCCAATTTTCTACTAGAAAAGAAGTATGTTCGAGGATCAACAGACAAGACCCTATTTATCAAGTTGCAGGGAAAAGATCTTATGATTGCACAAATATATGTAGATGATATCGTGTTTGGCTCAACTGCTGAATCCTTGAAGAACGAATTTGTGAGATTCATGGAAGCTGAATTTGAGATGAGTATGATTGGTTAGCTCAATTTCTTTCTGGGATTACAAGTTAAGCAGCTAGCAGATGGAATTTTCTTGAGTCAATCGAAGTATGCTCAGAATATGATTGAGAAATTTGGCCTTCGTGATTCAAAGGTTTTTCGGACTCCTTTAGGACAACAGGATAAGCTATCCAAGGATGATGATGGGAAGATTGTTGATCAGAAACTGTACAGAAGTATAATCGGGAGTTTGTTGTATCTGACTGCTAGTCGCCCAGATATTTCTTTCAGTGTTGGCATATGTGCAAGGTTCCACTCAGCTCCTAAGGAATCTCATCTGAAGGCTGCAAAGAGAATTCTCATATATGTCAAAGGAACAGCTGAACTTGGGCTGTGGTACTCGAACAGATCCAGTCTTGATCTTATTGGATTCACAGACTCAGATTGGGCTGGATGTTGCGATGATAGGAAAAGCACAACTGGTGGATGTTTCTACATCGGGGACAATATTGTGAGTTGGAGTTCGAAGAAACAAAATTCAATTGCACTATCCACTGCTGAGGCTGAGTACATTGCTGCAGGGAGCTGTTGTGCTCAATTGTTGTGGATTCGACAGATGCTGCATGATTATGGTATTGTTCAAGATTCATTCACTCTATTCTGTGACAACACAAGTGCTATTAATATCTTCAAGAATCCAGTTCAGCATGGGAGGACAAAGCATATCAACATTCGATATCATTTCATTCGAGACTTGGTAGAAAATGGGGTGTGATCTGCAACACATTGGAACATTTGAATAGAAAGCAGACATTCTCACAAAGCCTCTGGATGGAGACCGATTCGAGAAGTTAAGGAGGAACTTGGGTATGTGTTCATGCCCTCTCTGAATTTCTCTGCATAAGTCAAAAAATTATTTATCTCCAATTTATTTTGATCTCATTGATGAATATTGGAATATATATATTTATATATATATGGGGAGAAATTATATATTCTGAAAATTGGATTTTGGGAATCGCGGTGATAAGGATCATTCCAGATAGGGGGATTTAAGTTGCAGAAGTTGAAGTGACTTAAAGTTGTTAGTATAGCTGCAGCTGCTGTGTCAAGACAGCTTTTTGGGGAATTGATTGACTAAGGGGATGAATTCTTAATTGAAAATTCAAAAGCGTGTTCAGATCTTCTCTCTTCTCTGGCTATTTCTTTTGGCAGTTGTTGTTTGTGGAGATAACCTTCTCGAGTCACAAGGTTTTCCCTCATTCTTTTCTCTCTTGCGAAAAATCATGGCTCGAACCCGTTTTGGGAATGTTCGTCGCGCTGGAGCCGAAGGTGGTAGACGTGGGCGTGTTGGCACTCGAGGCAGAGGTCGTGGTCGACGAAGTGAAACTGTTAGTCCCTCTCCCGACCCCATGGAGGTTTCTGAATCGAATAATAATCCTCTGCCACTGGCCGAAGGAAATTTGAAGGAAGCAGAGGATGATGCTGTTGCACAAGCCCTACAGTCCTTGAATGAAAAATCGAAGGTTCTAGAGGAAAATGTTTCTCCAAATGAAGGAATCATCACTGGAAATGAAGTTGCTACTGCTGTTGAAGATGAGCCTCCAACTATTGTTGGCGAAGCCCCCATTGAAGAACTCGAAAAGGTTGCTGAGGAGCCCCTGGTTACTGAAGAAGTTCAAAATGCTGATGAAGCTGAGGAAGTTGTTCCACAACATGTTGCTGAACATAAGGTCCCTAACACACAGATGGATGAAGTGGCTGCTGAAGAAGAAGTTCCTACGGAACAAGTTGTTCATGGTGTTGAAACAGAAGGTACAAATCTTGAGCCTCGTTCTTCTTCTGAAGATCTTGATGCTCTCATTGACAGGGTCGTGAGTCAGCTTCCTTCTCAAGATAATGAGTCATCTTCCAAAATGTCTGGACCAGACACAGTCCCTGAATCTCCGTTACCTGGAAAAATGGTGGAAGGTAGTGATGAGGTTATTACGACACCAGAACAACAACCATATGCAGAACAGGCCGCGGAGGCTGAGTTTACTCCATCCTCGTCGAAGAGACAACCCTCCAAAAAGAGGAAGTTGTCTGCTGGTGTTCCAGGGTCTTTTCGAAAAAGGCTCAAACGATCTTTTTCAAAGAAAGTCATAAAGGGAAAGAAGTCCAAAACTCGTCAGAAGGCTCTCAGATCTCATTGCATTACTGCGGAACAATCTATGGATACTACACACTTTGATGATCTTGCTGAAGTGTTTGAGTACGACATTCTCGCAAACCGAAAATTTGTGGTTGAAAAGCAATTCACAAGCAATGAGCATTTAGAGGTTGGTTTTTCCGATTATCTGCACCGGAAAGGATTGTTTCACTGGGCTGTTAAACTACGGAAGTACTGTCCAAAATTGGTCAAGGAGTTTTACGCTAACCTTTCTGCTCATGTCTTAGATGAAGACTCTCCCTGGTTTCACAAAGCTTATGTGCGTGGCAAGGTTTTTGAGCTAAGCCCGCGCGTCATAAACAAGCTGTTAAAACTCCCTCTTGACAATCCTGAAGAGCTACCCTCTGATCTTCTGAAAGACTCCACGAGAGATGTTGCCCTGTTCCTGTCCTCACGCAAGTCAGTGGACTTTGGTAGAAAAGGATTCAGTGCCACTGAGCTTTCACTGAGATTTCAATGTCTTTTCCGTCTCTGCGCCAAGAACATTTTTCCAACAAGCAATGGAACCAATATTGGTTCTGAAATGGGTAAACTAATGTATTCCATCGATCGCTTTTGTCCTAACATTAACTTTGGTTTTGTTGTGATGTCAAAAATGGTCAAGTTCTCACGAGGCCAGAAGTCTGAAGGTACGAACTTACCGTATCCTGCTTTGATCACACTGCTATTGAAGAAGAACGGCATTGTCCCTGATCCTACTGAGGACGTCATCAACATTGAGGTGTTTCAACCCAAACCTAATATCCTCAGTCTGCACAACGACATCACCGAAGACATCCTCTGTAATGCAACCGAACAGCTTCTTGAAGCCCGACGGATTCTTCAAGAAGTTGTGCAAGAACAAGCTGCCATCCGTATCACTCTAGGTGAGCATCGTCAGAAAATCATCCGTGCTGTTAACCTTATGCCGAAGATTGGTTCGGTTCTTGCTGACGAAGGGGAGGACCCTTCGCTTGTCTAATTTGCTCGTCTGTTCCCTTTTTGGCATCTGCTCTCGAGGGGGAGAGATGTGCATGAGATGTGCATGGTGTTTGTGTGTTTGCTGCTCTGCTACTGTTTCCTGTTATTGACTATTTCATTTGCCAAGCTGCTTGTAGCCTGTGTTTGTTTTTTGCTGGCCTGTAACAAATTGATGACTTACTGTTGATTTTGTTTGGATTGATTGGTTTGGTGTGGGAGTGATTCTCCTGCACATTGGGCGAAGTCCCATATGCCAAAAAGGGGGAGAATGTTGGAACAATATTTTTCTCCAACTTTTTTTTGGCATATGGTTCTTCCTGCTTTTCCCCTGCTGCCTTTCCTTGTTTCCATTCAGGTTACTGCAACAGACTGCCTGCAACTCTGTTGGGTCTGCTCTTCTCGATTTGGAAAGCTAAGAAGAGACAAAAAGAATGGATTTTTGGGTGGTCAACCTTTGACAGACTTCATGGAGGAATACATCATTCCATTTTCGTGCAAAGGATTTTAATTGAGTTTGTCCTGTATGCTTTGTTTGGCTGCTTCTTGGTAAGTTGTGTGGGAAGTTTGGTTGTTGCATGGGTTTAGAGAGAGAATTGTTGTGAGAGAAAGTAAGTTAAATCCTCTCAACCCCAACCCTTCCCTTCTCCATGCATTGAAAGAGTGCTAGACACATTTACCTGCCGAAGACATCGTCGAAGGAAGGAGAGATTGGAAATCCGATCAGGAGATTCATCCAAAGTCTGAGCAACCCTGCTATCTGCTAGTTGTTAGTACGAGTTTGTGACAACTTATACATGCGGAGGGATTTTCCTAGGTGATTTGCATTATAGTATGGGTTAAAGGAGTTTTGGGCTGTTTAGTTCATAATCAACCTTGATTAGTGAACTTCTCCTGGATTGGAATCCCCCGGATGTAGGTTGGTTATAACCGAACCGGATTACCAAATATCTTGTCTTTTATTGCTTTGGATATTGTCCTTATTTCGTTGACAAGATGTTGTTACAACTGTGATTTTACCACGCTTCGGGAGTTGGCCCATTTGGAAAAGTGTACAAGAATTTATTGGAGTAGCACTTATTCCATCCCAACAACATCACATCAACACCTATTTATATCACATCATACAATTATTACAATTTAATTTTTTTACTATTTAATTCCAATTCAAAATCCAAACTCCCAAACAAACACACTCAGAGGATATTCTATTCTTTTTTACTAGAATAGTTTAAAATATCACAATATATTATAAATTTCACAAATACAAATTATTTGGATATTATTTCAATATTATCCAATTACGACATCCGATGTGCTGAATCAATAATATAAAAATTTTATATATTTATATGAAAAGTGATTTCCAGATAGTTGAGATATGATGTAATATAATTCAAACATAAAATTACTTTTGAAAAAAAAGAAATAATAATCTTACCGCATTATAAATCTTCTAAATATTATCTCCGTTCACATCGTATGGTATTAGAACTCTGGAATGCTCCCCGTCTTATTCCATAGCGTTCCACAATGGTATTTTACTATTATATTTTTTCGTCAATCGACGTCAAGGAAAAATATAGTCTTCTTTTTCTTTTTTTTTTATTTTATTATTTTTTTTTTGGTGTGAAATGAATTAATTAAAGAGTTAGAACACACTGCAGACTTTCTAAAATCTATGAACAATTGAATCAATGCTTTAGTTATTATATAAAACAAATGATAAATTTACATATACTTCAATCATCAATAAATTAGGCAATTAAGTATGAGATCATATATATATATGTATACACTAGTGTGGGCTTTATTTATATTCTTAACTTGAGCATCTTCACATAACAAATTAAAGCTCAGCCATAATTAGTGTGTTAGGCGATCAAGTTGGATAATATCAATCAATATTGGTAACAAACATATCCTACCTAAATATGAACGGTTAATGTTGTCCATTAATTACTTCCAATCAACGTGATAAATAATATCACTAACACAATATTTTCCTGTAATTACATCCAAAGGGAAGTAAAAGCAAACTTGGCCTTTTGTTTTCCAGTAAATGAAGTCTATTATCAGTTGCTTTGCCTTAATTCGTGCTCAAATTCATTTTTCTTGATAAAATTTCTCTCAACTTCAGATCCAACACCCGAATTTGTATGTAGCATCGGATCCCATCGGATGCCCGTGACTTTTTTATATTTTTAAATAAACTGAATATCCGCAGCGAATGCTGTATCAGATGTTTGAACTCATGACCGAATGCCGGTGACTCTGGTTTATTTATACCAGTGTAAGAGCATAAAAGAGTTTTGATATTTTATCATGAGCAAAATTAGTCAAAAAAATAGAATTATGAGACAAAACTGAAATTGTGTTCACTTTGCAAAAGACTTTAAATTTAAAAATTAAATTTAAATGTTGATAGTATTGTAAATATATGTTGTATAAAAAAAATAAGGTATCTTCTTTTGCACAATTTTGAGAAAATCTACTGTGTGGGCTTGAATGGGCGCGAAAGCTCGCCTACCTCATTTGTTGCTTAGGAGGAGTAGAGTGTCTTTTTTTTAATTTTAATTTTTAGTTTTTTTAATCAATAATCTATGGCTCATTTTTTCTTCAATCACCCATTTTTACTTTGTGAATGGCTATTTTATTTTTTATTTTTTGTTTTATTTTTTATTTTTTTCGTTCATATATATTTTTTAATTCTCCAAAAAATAAAATTATGGGTTTGTTTGTTTTGAAAAATAGTTAGAAAAATATTGTATTTTCACGTGAATTATAAAAAATTATATAAATAATATAAAATTCATATTATTTTTTTTCATAATTTTATTATTTTAATATAAAAATTTATTTATACAATACAATCTACTAGTATTACACTTTTATATAAACACAATTATTAAATTTCAAATCAATAAAAATAAAATAATTTACAAAATCCAAACCAAACCTATCAACGTAAAGAAACATGAAAATTCAAAAACTCACACCCTAAATTATCTTTTCTTTAAAGCGGTTGGGTGTGTTTCGTTTGTAATTTATACACAAATTAACATTTTTAATTTAGGTATGATTATTTATAAAAATATATTATTTTAAAAAATATTATATTAAAATAGTATTTAAAAAAATATATATATATTTTAAAAAAACATTATTTTAAATCTAAACCTAACAAACCAAAACCAAAGACTATACAAGTGAAATGGACTTCAAAAAATAAAATTAAAAATAGGGAAAAAAAAACCTTTAATTAATTCCGTGTATCATATGAGACACTGTCCATAAAAAGGTAATCATTTAGAACAAAAAAAATTGTTAAATATAGGATCGAACACTACAAAAAAATAATATATTTGTAACGGAATTCCGTCTCTAATGTCATTAGTAACGGAAAAAGTAGATTTAGAAAAAAATAATTTTGTTACAAAAATGATTTTTTTTTGTAGTGGAATCAACATATTAATATATGTCAAAATTTCCAAATTATGCTGGTAAATTAAGTATGGTCTAACATGGTTCCTATAGTACAAGTTTTATTGAGATCATTTGAATGCTCATGTTCTTTTCATCAAGAGGCATATTTTCAGATGTGGGGCTTAATTCTAGCTAGAGATAGGCCATTCATATTATATATTTTCAGAGGTATGTTTACTTGTTGGACACATATATATATATATATATGACCAACACAGAAATTGTGTGCAGTTTGCATCCAGGATATCTCAACAAATTACTAGGTTTATTATGAGTTTATTTAGTTGTGTTGGACTTGTTAGAATATAATTGTGAGAATATTCATAACAATTATCGAATTTGATAATTACGTTATCAATCTTTGCAAAATGATCGAAACGTCGCTTATTCGTAGCCCAATATTTTTATAGATAAAACATTGATTCATCAGAAGTGGAAAGAGAGGTTGTTTTATAAGGACTCAACCAATTGGGGAATTCAATTCACTTTCAAAACCATCGGCCATTTGGTAACTGCCGGTCATAATTTTGGTCATTTATGAACCAAATTGTACTTGGATGGATATGCACGTGGCCGATTTTCGGCCAACAAAAATACGTATTCTTTTCTTTATGCACTTGGGCTATGTTAAATCTAGGATTTTGATTTGTGTGGAGACATTAAAAGATAATTTGAGTTTAATTCTAGCCCCCTAAGCAAACTTTGGCCTTGGAAATTGAAGCAATTATCTCGACCAACGACCTAAGTTCTAAGCCTATGCTCGTGTACGTCCATGTCTTATGTCCGTATTCGTACGTGTCCATCTGGATGGACAACGTGCACGTATGGCTCGCCTCCATACCTATGTCCTACCATATTCTTACGCCCCTTTCATACAATAAAATTATATATAAACACATTCATTTTGTATTCTACTCTCAATATAGGATAACTAGCAAATTATTTGGTTAATTATCCCTTAACCATCCTTATTAGTCCACCTTAGTCAACTTAATTGAATAAAAAAAAAAGCCCATTTCATTCAAAAGCCCAAAATAAATAATCCAATTACTTTGGTTTTTTTAGCTCGTGGAAGTTCTACTCACCGATTAATCAGTTTCGAGAATTCAAAATTTAATTTATCAAAATTAACTTTTATTGCTTTTGAATAAGAATATGGATCCTATGGATAAGCATGCAACTCTTACAATTTGTATAAATAATGTGACAAATGTGCGTTGAAGGCGATTCGATGTGAAACCATAAAATTCAAGGAGTTTCGATGAAGAGGTAAGCAACAATAAATGTAAATCTAATTTTATAAAATTAAGTATGCATGTGCATGAGATTATGATTATAGTGTTAATGTGATATTATCTATATGTGTGGTAGCGGAAAGCGAGGACATCATCTGTGGTAAGAATATTTGAACCCGATGTATCGTAACAATTTAGCGATCGTGGACGATAATAATTGGACAACTGGACGACTTAGTCGCACAGTCATTCAAGGATTAGACCAATTGTAGTTGAGATATAT